CTTGCTGCCATTTCCTCTGACTTTTCAAACTTGGGACACTGGTAGCTATTATTCATTCTCTTGTTTCTTACCAGCCACACAGCTAAGAGCTGCAACTTTCCATCAACAAATACCATATCAGTTGTTATTTAGGCATTCTTTTAATCACTGCATTTTTTTCCCAGGTATTTCTTGAGCAAAAGAAGGGTTTACTGCATTATTGCAGTTTGGAAATCTGAGAGAGCAGTATCTCAATGTAATTACTAAGTGCCACTCTGGGTAACCACAAAATAACTTGCTAATGAAAACTGTGAATAGGAAGAAAAATATAAATGAGGTATAAAGAAAGTAACTGTCCAAACCATTTGAATTTCAGCAAGTATGAACAAACCTCTTCATTATGTACCCTTCTTGTCTATAAAAAGGATGGAAGACATGAAGCAGCAGGACTTAACGCTTCCATGACAAACAATGGTGCCAACACCAAGAGATTTTCCAATTTCCTGCTATAACAAACCTTTTAACTCTGGGTAATTCCAATAATTTTAGTCATCAACTTGCAAAGAGGCGTAACTCGTATTCAGTCGACATGAATTTGAGTAATCCTGTTGCCACGTCTGGTTAAGAGAAGACAGATAATAATACATTTTGGTTTCACAGTAGGGAAGGGGAAAGCTATCTCTTCCTCTCCACTTCTCAGTACTTCAGGAGGAACAGAGGAGAAATGGAGCTGCTGTGAGGAGAGAGAATTAGCGTGGGAGATGAAAAGGCAATGGGAGTCCTGGTAGCAGATTTGGGAATAGGATCATGTTCACCATTCTAACAACAGCCCCCAAAACTCTAATACCTCAACTTTTCTCCCCAAATACGAGAAAGCAGGCTCTCTAGCTTGCATTAGAAGATAACAATGGTGAGGAAGGCATAGAAATGTGCAGCTGGTGACAAGAACCTCTCAGCTCAATGGGAAAGACAGAAGGAGTCCAGGATTTTGTGTAAGAGGAAGAGATCTAATGACTTCCCCAAGGTTTAACTGAAAGCAGACAGCAAGAATAGGAGCTGAACCCATGAGTCCTGAATCACAGCCCTTTGTCTCAACCACAAGACCCTCCTTCCCCTTGGATGTTTACACTATTTAGGGTAATCAAGAAAAAGACTCCTTTGCCCACCTAAACCAGGAAGAAGAGCAATGGGCTCCAAAGGAATGTCAAACCTTACTATTGCTCCAGAAACAGTGTTGTTTCCTATGCTGGTCATCTGTGTTGAATCAAGATCCATTTTGATTGCATTAGGTTAGAAAATACAGTGCCTTTCTTAGAAAAGATGCTAGAGAGCATGTCTAACCATGCAGCATGCTCTGTTGCAAAGCCTGCAGAGCCAGCTCTAAACCCCACTGGCTGTGGAAAACTGTGTTTTGAGGGGTATTGCAGCATCAAGAGAGCAATGCAGATACATTAACAACTAAATATGTTTTACAGCTCAGAAAGGCACTCAAATTCAGGTTCAGGAACATATTCACACAGTTTCCAAGGCTACCTCAATCACTGCTCATACTCCTGAAGGCTGCTGAACCTTGTTACATTATGCAAGCATGATCTTTCTTGCTTTCTGGTTTTCCAAAGGTTAGGAAAGGATGTGGTTGTGCTCAGCGTGTTGTGAAGTAAACAGCAAGGAGCTATTTCTTGAGATTTTTTTAGCTAAGGATTTTCCTGAAGAACAAAACTCTCCCAAGCAAATTCAGACAGGTTCTTTAGTCTAAGAGGGACTTTTCCATCACAGCAGTGAGGCAAAAAAAAAAAAAAAGCAAAAGCCTTAGTAAGATGGGTCTCATACCTTAGTAGAACAATAGTTTTTATGAAGTTGCCTTTTCTATCAGAGGACTGTGCTGAGTGACTGAGAAGACCTAGACTTATCTTTTCTAACAAGTCTTCTAAGGTATTTCTAAGAAATATCACAGTGGTCTAAACATTCAGATATTTTCAGAAGGGTGAATTAGTAAAGCAATATACAGATATTTTTTTCAGGGCAGACCATACATAATAAATTTTCCATCTTTGGAAAAAATTCTAGCTGAGTGAGCAGTATACATGTATGTGCATGCCCATGAACTCACACTATTTTCAGTATCAAGACCATCTTCAAGCAATTTCTCACTCTTATAGTGCATTCATCTTATGTAAAACAGATGCATGTCTTTGGGGTAGGCTTTTGTCTTTTAGTCTTAGATTGTGAATACCCCTTTTAATTGAAACGGGAAATACAAATTTCCTCATTTAGTTCCAAGCCTGAAGCCCACTAGCATACGCAGCCATCTGCAGATTCAGCTGGAACCCTTTCAGCACCCCACAGTAAGTCTGCTGGTTAAATTAAGGATCTTTGGACATGTCCACTGAGCTGTGCCCTTGTACACCAGCTGTAGCAAAGCTGAACTAGTAGTACTGTATCCATCCTGAGTCCTGAAACTCCATCTCCAATTTGAGTTAAACAGTTACATTATTACTATTTAAAAGCTGCAGAGCTGATGATAATGCCACCCTTGTTGGGAACGCCTTTTAAAGTCTCTGCTCTATGCTGTGCCTATTGGGATGTAGAACTAAATAAGGAAAGCAGCAAACATTGCAAATGGAGATTATCAAACTGCACAAGAGGCAAACCAAGGGAGTACACCTAATAATCTTTAATGCAAAATAATTCAGTCCTTTCTCATTAAAATATATGTTTTTAAAATCTTCCCTTTTTTTCATGTATGCAAATGAAGGTGAAAGCAGTCATCTCCTTTCCTGATGATGGAAGTGATACCAACTATTATGTCAGTATTAAGTGAACTTCCTCCCATCCATTTCTGTCCAGTTAATGTCATCTGACTCAAATGTGATTACTAAAAATGGGCTGTTCAGTTCCAACAAACTGAAGGCATGCAAGTTTACAGATACAATTGCTTCAGACCCCTCCTACGGGTGATCAGATTGAATCTTAAGAGGGTGTCTATTGAATGGACTCAAAGAAACACATTTTCACACCTGTCAGGCCTGGATTAATATCCCTGCTAATTGCACTTTAGGAACGGCCAATTAGTTCTAGTTATAGAAGCTTTCATGGGTAAGGGGGAGAAGCAGCCTGTTACCACCATCAGGACTCATTGTTCCCCTGAATAGATTTGTGTCCCAAACTGCGCGTGCCTCAGCGGTTTGACTGGAAGCCCTGCTGCACGCCACTGCAATGACGCCTTTATCCCAGCCCCAAACCCGCTTTAATGATAGAGATGGCAGAGGTGACCATAAACATAAAAGGAAAATAAACTAGTGCTATCCTGAAATTACAAAGCCAGAACCGTTTTCAAGCCAGAAGCGGTTTGCTGAAATTTCTTAATAACCGAAGCTTATTTTTTGTCTAAAATAAAATCTTGGTTTTGCTCTAAAGTGACAGTACTTTGTAATAAAACACTTGCTCTAGCAAGGAAAAAAGTCCAGTAATGTGTCTGGATTTGCAAAAGGCTGATAAGTGAAGTTGTGGCCTTGAAGTGGCAGCCTGAAGAGTGACACTGCAGCGCCAACACCACCGGTGGGATACTTGAAAACAAATCAGGGACCAAGGGTTAGTCCAGCCATTGGAACATGACAGGAAGGCTAGTTAATAAACACCAGCTAACTCCTTCAATTACAGCAATAAACTGTTGAATTGGTTAAATGTCCACAGGTTCTGCCCCAAACACCTCTGTGAACTGTTTAATTAGCAAACTCTTGCATCACTGGACAGTCGGATCCTGGTGAGCATGGGGAATGCTGGGCTCCTGGGGAGTGAAGGGCGCTGGTGCCCCACACAGCTCGACTCTGCAGGGCTTGCCTTTGAGCCACGCAACCTGCTATGTTTTAACAGCTCTGGAGATTATTCATTCAGTGACACCGTGGTTTTTTTTGAAACAAAATTAATACCGTGAGGGCAAAATACAGCTTGGTTGCCATTCTTTCCACATCAGTTTTCTGCATTTTGATAAGAAGCCCCACAAATTACAGCTTCTCACCTGCTGCAAGATTAGATAGCCGCGCATGCAAGACGGGTTACGCAGCACAAGAGATACCGATTACCTGGAAACTGCATGTGGTACAAAACAGACCTGCAGATTAAAAGTCAGCAAGCCTATTTCTTGAAAATATTTAACACACTGAATTTGGAATTATCTCACTAAGAGTTAAGAACATTTGAAACATTGCAAAATGATTTATCATTAAGATTACTGCTGGCTGTGAAGAGTATTTAGATAATATTCATGAGGCATAGGCCACAAAAGCATTAAAAAATCCTGATACAAAACCAAATTTTTGATAAAGGGTATTTTACAAAAAAAAAAATAAAATCAATCAATCAATTAATTAATCATTATTTCTTCTGAATAAAGCAACAAGTTAAAGTTGATCACTGAGGATCAATTAATAGTTAAAGACTCATGTATGTTTCCTTCAATGGACTTTTAATCATTGTGATAAACTACTGATAGCACATATTCTCTTACCAACTAAAAACCATACACTGATGGAGTGGAAAAGAATGTGTGGCTTTTAAAAATGTATTAATAATGATTATTAATAATATTAATAAAAATAATATTAACTTGTTGCTTTATTCAGAAGAAATTATTAATAATATCAATAATCATTATTAGCAATAATTTCATGTCTGAAAAACAACTAGACAAGGGAGATAAGTACTATTTGTTTAGACAGTGAGGAAAAATTGCATTTCCCTGATGAAGTTTTCTTAATAAACTAAACCCAAGGTAAATTTATCACATTGGGAGTAAAAATACATACAGTGTTTGCCTGTGGAAAGCTGTAAGTGATTGCTCCCCGTCTCTCTAGCAAAAGTATTTCTTTGGAAATGGCTCTAGGCAGAAACGTTCATTTAGAACCAATTTTTTAATAACATTGAAGAAATGTACTATTTTACACAGATGCCTGAGAGGTTAAGCATGGATCCTCAAAGGATAGCCAGAGAACAGACAGGGTAATTCGGTTTATTGGGTTGGACTATGCCCTATCCTCCACTTTGCAAAAATGCACAAGTCATTGAACTAAACTCAGGATGCTCCTGGCTGAACTTGGTGGCTCCTGGGATTCCTCTCCTGAGTACTGTGTTCTCCCACTGAGCCACAGCAGTAACTCAAGCTCTCAGATTCTCCTCCAGGTATGTACAGGACAGGTCCACATCTGCTCTGGGAAAGCTGTAGGTTCAGCATTGTTACTGCCTCAGGTTTAAGGACATAAATGGTCTTATTTAATTTAACATGCACATCTTGCACAGCTAAGCAAAGCAAACTTTTTAAATTCAGGTTCACAGGAAGATTTCTGTTGACTTTTAGTCACTGGGTCAACCTTGTACAGAGCAATTTGAATGCTTAATGTTAAAGAAAATAGTTCTGTTAAATTGATATGTATTGAAAACTGTTCTGTAAAAAGTTGTGTACTGACTGTTGCAGAATCCAAGGGTTTAATGTCTGTGCTGCTTGAGTGGACAATGTAGAACTACTCTGGTGGATTTTTGTTTTCTTATTTTTTTTTTCTGTCTTTTTTTTTTTTTTTCGAATTAACATCTCTGAAGTCTCGGGGTCTCAGGACAGGCTTTCAGGCGACACCGATTAGCACAGCCTTGCTGAATTAAACAGACTGAAACAATTCAGGCCATTGACAATCCACGGGGGCAGGGTGGGGAGAAACTGCAAATTAGGAAAAGAATAGAGGACACAATACCCGCACTGATGTCCTGGCACACAGGCTTTTATTCTGGAGATAGTTTACAAGCAGTTCATAACCTTTGGACTCCAGACAGTCTGTAGAACCAACAAGAGGAGGTTCAAGATTTGGTCTGAACTTTCCATCCAGCCCCAGTAGTGTCAATATTTGGAGGATGCACAGGAACTCATAAAGTCTCCGTAAAATGGATGTTAGGGAAAAAAAACCAACCCGAAACCTGTATTCATAAAATCTTTTTAGACTGTGTTGCTTTAAGCCAAGAAGGTATTAAGAAGATAAAAATTCATAATTTTGCTGTGCTTAAAAAAGGAGTTTCCCAGCCAAAAAGCTAAGGCATTTTTGTTTAACAAACCTGGAGTTCAAAAGCTGCCTCTTGTTCCAGGTTCCTAATTTCTAATTTGCAAATTTTGAATTATAAGTTTAAACATTTTGCCATTCACAGAATAACTCCTAGAAATGGTGCAGGTGTGACTTTTCTGCCAAAGAAAAAGGTGACTGGAGAATTCACAAATCAAAATCACTTATGTTCCAGGCCTGTCAATATTTCATTGATCTGTTTAAAATATGTTAATCTTTCATTCTGTATTATCAATCAATTCAGTCATCATATCAAACCATACTCTGTTAAGAGAAAATTATTTAAACAAGGTAACAAATTAAGGTTTTGTTCTTTGATAGTCATTTTAAAAGACTAACTAAAAAAATTTACAGGTGTGTGTTTTATTTCGTGAATGCAAGACACTTAAAATAATCATTCTGTATGCCAGACTTTCATGTCATGCTAACTAGGAAGTGACATTTACTATTAACTCAGTTGACAGAGCTTTTGTGCAACCAAAGTCAAATGAAGTATACTGTTAATAAATAACACAAAACTAGAAGAAAAAGAGTTGTCTTTTAAGTCTCTCATAATTTTGTTTCTTGTCACATGTTAAATGCTCTAAGTCCTGGGGAGCTCAATTGAATTAAGTTACCAGTGCAAAGGTAACCTAAATGAAGAGGGAACTGAGTGCCCAACAATATTTTAACAAAGAATTTTTATCTGGCCAAAAATAATACTTTAAATGTGTCAAACTGTAAACTTCTGTTCTGAACAGAGGCTTCTATTGTAAGCAATAGATGTTATAGAGTTAAAAATCTATCACTATATACAAAGTTAGCTTGTTTTTATATGTGGATCACCTCATTCATCAACAGAGGAAAAGTTAGTCCCAAAAAATAACCACAAAGAGACAATTTCTGATGTAATAAATGTATCTCCTACTAGTCACAATAAAAAAAAAATTAAATACCAACTTATTCTGCCCCATAACTGAAAAAGTGAAACCCACTTTTTTTTGCTCTAGGTTTTGCTCTAGGTATGCTTTGAAAGCCTTCAGTGATGAGTTCTGGATTTTTTTTTATTCTGTAGGAGTAAATAATTTGCTTATTCTCAAAAAAAACCCCCTAGCTTTCATATTTCAAATGCACAGAGAGGAATTTGTATTTGCCATTAAGAAAACAACCAAAACCCCAACCAGACCCACACTATTAAAACTCATTCAGAACTAGGGTTTTTTAAACTGTTCAATTTAAATGTTCACTTTAAATTTAAGATGATAGCCCATCTTATAAGCCGAGATGATCATACAATGCTATAATTGCAAGAACTGTGCTTGGGTGAGAGGTCTCTCACATATACAAAATGTAGATTCATGCCTCTATGAAATTTCAGAAAACAAGATGGTTATCCCATATGCCTAATTACAAGCAATTTCCACAAAGTTTTCAAAGCCCCCAGCATGCAAGATCCACAGTTTCGACTCACCTTATCTATTAATTTTCTGCCTTGTACAGAGCTCAAAGTTTCAGCACTATCTTGCCCCTTCATTCTCCATACAGCGTATCTCCACACTGTGTAAACCTCCTGTGTAAAGCATGATCTTGCCTATTTCTCTTTCCTTTCTCAAAGCCTTAGTACAAAGTTGCTCCAGCTATCCTGAGAAGCTTTACACTGCATCAAGCACCTGTTCAGACTGCAGTCAGTTAAAAAAATCAAAATAACAGCTGAGTTGAGGTCAGCCGCCCTACACACTTCAGAACATACTCAGAAATCCTACTACCCTCATCCCTCCCGATTCGATTTGAAAACAGCAGTTCTAGTAATGTGATGCCTTCCTTCCCTTCCCTGTTTGAGCAGGCAGTGAAAGCCCTCCTGCTGTCTTCTACTCCTAAGAGTAAAGCTTTAGTCTCCAACCTGAAGTAGGTTGTCTGCAGAAATAAGACAACTCATCCCACACTGATAGCGTTTGTTTAAGGAACACAGGTTCAGCAGAGCCAGTTAACCATTAGCTATCACCCATGCAGATCATATTACACTCACTATGCCTAATTGCATAGCTACCCCTGTATGAAGTTTAGTTGAAGAGAAGCACTTGGGTCTATCAGTCTTTTATGAGCATTGCTACAGGGTAACAACAACACAAAAAGTCACAATGAACACCGAGCCAGCTTCAGGCACACATTCCATGTTCATAGAAAAGAAGGTTGTCAAATACCTCACTTCAACCACTCAAGTGTTTATTGCCAATACCAAAAACTGCTCAGAAGGAATTCATAGGCACTAAAAACTCTAGATGTTTTGAGATTTAAGTCATCCCTAAAAGCGGTCCACACAAATGTTCCCCTACATGCATCCATAACCTGGTCAACTCTACAGGCTGAAAACAGCAGCTGTCTTCATAAAAAATAGTGGAAAGTTGCAACACTTCTTCAAATATTTTTTCCTAGAGTCTCACAAGTTAATTATGATGGTCAGAAAACTACTTAGTGCTGCTATTATTTTGTATCAACCTAAATCCTGACAAAAAATTTCAGCTGCAACGATATTCTATCATGTCACACAAATAATCTTATCAAGCCCAAAGCACAGGATTTATTATTATGGACTTTCATTACAAAACCTTCTAGAAGGCACAAGCAAGAACATTGTGCTAGAAATCAAGATACTGTGCAGAAAGAAACCTCACCAGCTCAAAGAGTTGGAAAGAAGGGAAGTGGCATTGCCTTCATTTCACAGGACAAATAGAGTGTGTGTTGAGGCTCAGAAAGATTAAGCCCCTTCTCCTGCAACTTCAGACTTAGCATGGCAGCTATTAACATCATACAACATTTTATGCATGCCAGGGTTCACCAGCACCAGGACTGAAACACAGAGGAATGTCCATCTCCAGTAATTTAGCCTGAAACAGACATAAGAACAGAATGCACATCTCTCCTACGTCCTACCCACGATTTTAACAACCCCAGCTTTACCCCATTTTTACACCTATACACCCCTTTCCTTGTGACAGTTGGTGCTACCCTGTTCCTGGTTTATATTAATTCAAGATCCAAATCTAGCACATAGCTTTCCAATCTTCGTAGCACAAACAAGATTAATTTTTAATTTTAAGGCCCTGATTCAGCAAAACATTCAACTACATGCTTAATTCTATCCCTATTCAGTAAAGTACTTAAGTATTTGCTTAATTCTCATTTACTCTGCTGAGACTTGAACATGTGCTTAAAGATAAGCCTCTTCTTATGTACTTTGCTGAACTAGGGCCTAAACTGTGACCTAGGAGCCAGGAAGAAAAGAAAAAATAGATCAATAATGTCCAGTGTTATTTCCTCAAAATATTAGGTTAGCTGTCTGCAAAAGATGAAGAAAAAATACAAATCACTTTGACTCAAGTAGTACCTACAGCTAATACAACTGCTGCATTGGAAGAGACCAATTTTATAAAATCTTACTAAAAATATATCTTCAAAAATTCGTTCTTGTTGCCCATTTAGAACTCCAAATATGCCTTACGGCAATGTGTTGAACCTATCACTGAAATCTCAGTTCCATGACTGAAATCTTGGTTAGTTACCTGACATTTAGGAAAAAAAATAAAATTAAATTGATTCTGCTCTAAATAAGTACAGTTGAATAGAATTCAGATTTGCATTATCTTAAGAGGAACTTAATGGAGAAGTTGGGAAGGTGCCAGGGGAGGACTCTGTAGTAAAAACAGGAGAAAAAAGACATACTCTGATACTCACTAGAAGAACAGTCTGAGTTTAGTCACCATCAACTGAAACCACGTTTATTACATGTACACTGTGTAATACATTTTCTTGCTAAAAAGTCTCATTGTGGATGGATCCTTGGGCCAGTGTGGAGATAATACAAGATCAGTATCAAAGAAGACACTGTCAGGTAGGGAAAAATATGTCTAAATATCTAAACTGAGGCTTAGATAGCAGAGAAGGCAAAAAATTACTATAATTTTATTTAAAAAAAAACAATAAAGACAAGAAAACCCAACAAACCAATATATTGGGTAGTGTGGCTAGTGGCTTATTTCTACCTATTTGTCTGCCCTATCCTTATCATCATGAATCATTCCATAAAGCATCTTCGTCCAGCTGTAAGATCCTAAACCATCCAAACATACTCTTTGATTGCAGGCTCACTGTTCAAATTAAAGCTACCTTGCCTGTTTCAAGGATATTGGTATCAATTCAACTGACATGGCCAGAAAGTACTGGGAAGGTGTAAGTCAGGAAAAGCATCTGCAGATGAAACTTACATCCTATCTCTTCCAACAATCTATCATTTCCTGGCAAAAATGTCTGGTGAAACCCAAGTACTTAAATGGGATACATGCTTCTAAACTGTAGAAAGATGCTTTCAGTAGGTGTGTGCCCACACAAATGGAACTCAGTGTTCCAGATGAGTTCCACCCTTGGAGAAACTGACCCATTGGCATTTTGCCAGTAGAAGAGTCCCTCTCACAAGTAAAGACCAAACACTTGCCACTGACAGGTCTTCTGTTGGCAAGACTTTCATGTCAGCTGCTGCTGCTCTTCCTTCAGGATCTGCATTTCCTCTGTAGTTGGAGTCCCTGTTTTCATCTACCTTTTGATTTCCAGCTAACAGGAATGCTATTTAATCTTTACAATTCCTTACTTACACATATGCTTAGCTTCATGTACTGTGAATGGTTCCACTGAAGCCTGAATTACGGCACATAAAGCTAAAACATATGCCTAAGCGCCTGCAGGATTGGGGTCTGAAAAATGGAGTATTTACTAGCTATTACCCTTTTGATGGATCCATCCCACTTAAAATGATGGATAAAAGTGTTTATTAAAATCTTTGAAGATGAGAGGTACTCCGTGAGTACATGTGTGGTAGGGGAAGTGGAAAGACCTAGAGACACAGATTGGCACTGGCTGCCCTGATGTTTGCCATAGAAACCACACATCATTATTAGCAGCTGCAGAATTAAGAAGCTTACATGGCTGATGTAGTTCCTCATATTTTGGACAAGCACAGTCAGATAGCAGAGTGCAGTTTCTTAGCTCCCACCTCAGTTCAGTGGGAGGTGGCAGCAAAAGGAAGATGCCTCATATGAATGCACCACTCCTTGGAAGGTTCTGTTGCAGCAACACTCATGCTCAGTATCAAAATTCAGTCACCCCTGTGTCACTATGGCCTCCCTCTCCTACCCATGGCCAACGGCTGAGACAGGGGATGGCAGAGGGATGAGAAATGTCTAATCTGCATTCCTGTTGTCAGGAGGGTAGGAAAGTTCACCTGGCGCTCCCCTTCGATCACATGCAGAACCAAGTACCTTCATGCAGAACCAAGTACCTTCTGTCCCCTGCTGAGCTGCTGGGGCTGTGGAGGTATAAAATATTTTCTAACAAAAAGAAACTGGATCACTTGCCTGGGGGAGCCATAGTGTTTATTCTGATGACAATGAAAGACGGCTTTGATCCCCACAGCAGCCACACATCTCTGATTGCAAGCGGCAAGCCCACCTCAACACACTTACAATGCATGTACCAGCCTCCTTCCTCCCGCCAGGCTGGATGTCAGGCTAATCAGTTTGATCTGACAGATTTTAATTAAATTAATTAAGATCTTTCTGAACGGACTTGATTAGTGTTCCACGGAGGAATCCCCCATGAAAAGGAACACTGTCAGGAAAAGCACTAATGTTTTCTCCTCTCATAATGAGAAGTTTCTTGGCTTGTTATTGGATTTTTTACACCATTAATAAGAGCACTTTATAAACACTTAGCATATGATGGGTTTTGACACCCTGTTATATTAAGTTAACAATAGTCTTCTACACACAAAGAGATTTTCATGTCCTTCTTCAACCAATTTTGTTTCTGCCAAATCCAGCATTTCAAATACAGTGACTTAATCTGATTTAAAGAGATATATGCAAAACTGAGACACAAAACAATCCCGATCACTTCCAATCAACCTTCACAGAGCAGCTTCTTGTACAAATATTGGAAACTCAGCATGTATAGAAATGAGATGTTGCTACAACTATGAGAGGCCACCTTGTTCCCTGCATTGACTTGTGCATGAACCAAGACCATTTTATTCCACTGGACTTGACTAAGATTGTACTGGCAGAATTTTCAAAGGGTTATGTGTGGACAAACCCTCCTTTTATTTGTACAGACACAATAGCACAACCAAGGCAGAAGGCATCGCCTTGCTTTCCACACCACATCTGGGATCTGCTTGCCTGGGATCTGCAAAAGCATTAGGGCTCAAAATCCCCTGGTGCTGGTAAATGACAAGTGGCCACAGCCACAATGTCTGCAAGAGACATCCCACCAGCCAAGACAGGCACAGCCAAGCAGCAGGTCCTGCAGCTAGTAATGACCTCTGCTGTATCACAGGCAGTCAAAAGGACGTGTGCTGCAGAAGCCTATTAAAAAGTGACATGGAATCCCAAGTTCACAAATAGAAAAGCTCATTGTACTCTACTTATAGTAAAGGCATCCTTGACTACGTGATAACCATTAAAATGCAGTTAATTCTTAACACCAGTTTAAATTGAATGTACTTTGAAAAATAAACTCAACTCTAAATATTTTTTAATTTTCCCTTGTATAGAAAGCAGAAATTGGACTTCTCTACCCACTTTTTTTTTAATCTCCCATTTCTCTCTACTTTGTAGGATTAGTTTACTAGCAAATGAAGCTTCCCAAGAATTGCAAAGGATTTTGAATTCAGCCTGAGAGGAAGTGATCTTGTTGTGACTGAAAGGAGCTCAGATACTGAAAAAAACACCACTTCATCCACCAACACTTCCTTTTTTCCTGAAGCCAGAGTGGTCATTCAAAATGCTTTATCTGGAAGGGTCAAATAATGGTGAGCCCTGTGATTTTTTTTACTGACAAAGGCTGAACAGGGGAAGGGAACTCTGAGGTGGGAAGATAATGTATTTGGAATGGAAGTCAAAATAAAGGAGAGATAAAAACAACACTATGAAAAGGACAGAAAAAGGAGGCAAAAAGATTTAAGGCATAAGCTAGAGAGAGAAGATTAAGACACAAGGTACTCTG